CAGAAGAGCCATGTTCCTTTTCTTGAAATTACCAATCCCTAGACCTCCTATTGTTTTACACCTAGAGACCACCTCCCAACTCACCCTATGATCTCTCTTCTCCTCTCCAGGCTCCCAGAGAAAGTTCCTTATTAATTTTTCCAACTGTAAGGGCATATACAAAGCAACACATATACAACCAGTCTCTGTGCAGTTGATATCTGTGAAAAGACATCAAATGGAAAATGTTTTTCAGTGAAATGGCTAAATCATGGGTCTTAGGCAATATTATCAGACCCAGATTGAATAGGATAGCTCAGTGGTCAGTGGTCACTGGTTCTATCATCTGATCTGATCTGGGTCATGGGATCCACATATAGGTCTGGAGTTTAACTTGTTCTCTCCCCATATCTTGAGCATTGAGACCTGCCTGACTGCTTTGGATGGGTCTTACCTACCTGATCGGTAGGGAAAAATACCAGCATGTGCAGAATATTATGACCCTCCGGTTCTACTTCGTTTAATTGGATGGTTGAGAAAAGCCTTCCATAAAAACCAGCTCCACAAATAATACCAAAACTAGATGGTTAAAAGCCATATAATTATGTTGGTTTTTAGCATTCTCAGTGTTCAACTTAGGACCCATTTAATGGTGAGCCCTGATTCTAAAAACATTTTAGAGGTGGAAAGTTGGAACCCTTTTAAAATATTATGAGATGTAGGCCATAAAATATATCATATAATCTTCCTTACCAACTACCATTCACTTTTTTATTGCTGCACTGCATTTGACATAATCAAGATATAATGCTATTGTTTTTGATCCAGTGGTTTTGCAGATGTATTTGATGTTGATTACTTCATTCAGAAAATGAGTGGTTTCATAGAAATTGTCAAGGAGTTGCCGGCAGAGATAGCATCAAGAGAACCCTTTCGAGTGGACTGCAGCAAACGTAAAGGCCAATTTGATTATGTTGAAAGTGTTCTTCCTTTGCTGGTGGAGCACCATTATATCTCAATCACACCGGCAATGAGCCAAAGAAGGGATAGGTACTATCCTGGCCTTGGAGAATTATATAATATTTGGAACCATACTTAGAATATATAGTATTTGGATTAGCTTAACTGTCAAATTCCAGTGCAGTAATTCTTTGATAAATAGGACTTGTTTTCATCATTACCTGAGCTTTATACCATATGCCGGGTCTGCTAAACCTTTTCTAGCCAAGTAGCATGTGTGTATATGAATGTGCAAAAGATGGAATTGTTCCAATTGGTAGCATGTCTAGGGTCACACAATTGAGCAATCTTTTGTAGACTAGTTCATAAGCTTGATTGGTTTTAACTGCCTGAAAAAATGAATGTTTAATTGGGTGGGATTGCTCAGTCCTTATCATTCTTTTTAGCTGTAACCATCCAAGACTTCATATTTGGGTGGTTTAGACCGAGGGCATTCCCACTAATGGTGGGTAAAGAGGCAAGGTCCTGTCATCCATCTGTCCTGTGCACTGTTTTTTGAATCTTGCTATATTCCTTCTTTCTTAGTTGGGAGGTGGATGCATAATTCAGTTTCTTTTGTCACTTATAAATTTTCTTATCTGCATCCTTTGCTATTTTCCTCTCACCTGTTATTACTTATTCTTCTTTCTACACTTTATAGATATCCTTTGTATGCAAAGGCTGCTCTCTGCCAGGCTTGTTATAATGCTTTGCACCTTACCAAAGTCTTGGAGAAGAAAGCTTCTGAGCTTCTGGATGCAATACCTAAACCTTTTCTCTCTCTTCACCTGCGGTTCGAACCTGACATGGTAGCTTATAGTCAGTGTGAGTATCAAGGCCTTTCTCCTGCATCCTTAGAAGCCATTGAAGCTGCACAGGGGGATCGAAAACCCTGGACTGGAGATGCAGCCCGCATTTGGAGAAGCCGTGGGAAGTGTCCCCTCACCCCAAAGGAGACAGCTTTCATCCTTCAGGCACTTTCTATCCCAACAAACACAACCATTTATCTAGCTGCTGGCGATGGCTTGATGGAAATGGAAGGGTTAACATCTGTCTACAACAATGTGTACACAAAATCTGGCCTTCTAAGTGGTGAAGATTTTACAAGCATGCATGGGAACACAAAAGCTGCCCTAGATTATTATGTGTCCATCAACAGCGACTCATATATAGCTACATATTTCGGGAATATGGATAAGATGGTAGCTGCAATGAGAGCATTTAATGGATTATATAAGACTCTCTTCCTAAGCAGGAGAGCGTTTGCCCAATTCACCTCCCAGGAACTGAGAGGGAAGGAGTTAGTTGAAGCCCTCTGGAAGGTTCACAGAGATGATTTTGTTATTGGACGGGGATCTGCCTTGCCTGATTGCTTTTGTGAATTTAAATTGTAATTTATGCCCCGAGTGTTGTCAAACTGTGTTGCTATTTTTTTTGCCTTGATTTATGATGAATTTTTCCCTTGATGTTTATAGAAAACAGAGAAGCCCAACTACCATGTATTTCAAATATTTTTTGGCTTTTTGCACTTGAAATCAAAATTTTAATCAATCATGTTAAAGACGTGTTATTTGCTTTTCATTTGGTTAATGTTTCAAAAGGTGCATCCACATTAAAGACTTTAACAACATTAAATGTCCAACTATAATGTATAGCTTTATCATTGGTTTAAATTTTTTGCTTAAAGTGCAGCTCGTACACCATGGATTTTGCCAAAGCAGAGGACATCCAGGGGAGTTCAATTTTAATAGAGCACAAAAATCTTTTTCATTTTGGGTAATCGGGTTCATATAATGTAAATGTCCGGTGTAGGAATGTAACTCATCTGAAAAGAAAAGGAGTAAAAACACAGTCCAGTATGCAGAGAGGAACACATATTTGAATATTTTGATTATATATTAAAATAACGAAACAAGGCCTATCTTTTGCTACAGTCTACATGATGGGGAATTACATTTAGCTAAAACTTCTAACCCACGTAAGAAGTGCTACGGCCAACACATGAAGCATTGTTCAATAACCACATTCGTTGTCATGTGTGAGATTTTCCAGTTTCTACAATGAATATGATCAGCACAATTATTTGCTTGGTCCTTGGTTGTTTATTAAGCATGATAGCTTTGTTTTTGCCTCAGTAGTATCTAACTGTTGCATCGGGACTTCCTCCTTTTACCCTATATTAACTGAAATATCAGTGCCGAAATCTCCACAACATGGTCAGAATAAGTTCTTCTTTTCGAACAAGTTTACTTCGCCTAAAAATAAATCAACAGCCAATGCTACGTGTGGAAAACACTAATGAAAAATAGGGCAGGGCTGATGTTGACTGGAGGATTGAATTAAGTGGGCAATCCAAAGGGTCCCCTACTTGTTCACATTATGCATTCCACATGGCAGAAATATGACAGGTCGTATAGGGAGCCATATTTGACCGAATTAGGAAGCCTTGTGTGTATGTGTGTGCAGGTCGAAATGTCATGATCATACTTATGTTTATTATGATTCAACTTAGTCAACATGCTTCCTAAGAAGGTCAACTTTCTAGGCAAATTTCAGCCGAGTTCACGGACATATTTATGTTTTTGGCCAAGGCCAAATCTTCAGTTGAGTCGATCTGTGAGTGATTGAGCTTAGGGGTGGCAATTGGGCAGGTTGGGTTGGGTTGGGTTTCGGTTGAGTTTCAACCCAATCCATCTAACTTGCCAACCCATTAATAACCCAATTATATAAAATTAAATAGGTTGGGTTCAACTCAAATCCGCTTTAACCCAATCTAACCCGCCCAAATCCATTAATCTTATATTTATGGACTTAAAAAACACTCTCTCTCTTAACAAATAAGTTGTTTGTAGCTTTGTGGTTATTGTACTTACTATTTACACAAGTGGTGAAGGTTCAAATCACATTACATGCATATTATTTTTACACAAGTGGCGAAGCCATTTCACTATGTTCAGATTTTGGGTTTGACTGAACCACTTAGGTTCAAGGGTGGTTGAACCGTTTAGATCTGGATCAATCCGATTGGACTGGACCAGACCGGTTCAGTCAATGGTGAATTGACTTGGACCGGAGCGGCTGACATGAGCCGAGTCATTGTAACTAATTCAGATCGGTCCAGATTCGAGTCGGGTCGTGCAGACAGTCTAGTTTGGGCTGTGTGAATATTGGTTGGACCCAGATCGACTTGTATTGAGTCGGGTTGGGCTGTGTGAATATTGGTTGGACCGAACGACCCAAATTGGCTAGAGCAAGCAGCACCGAACCATCCCGCCCAGGGTCTATTTCGGATTCGAGTTGACTCGGATCAGTATATGTTGAATCGAGTCAAACTGCATTGAACTGGTCCGGACTCAGGTCAAATTGATTTGGATTTATGTTGGGTGAAATGCATTGATTCAAAACAAAACTAAATTTAGTCAATAATTAATAGAAAATTAATGTATTAATTATAAATTATTTAATTCAAATGAAGAAAATTAAAAAAAATGCTAAAGAATTAATACTTATGTCTATAATAGTTAACCCAATGGTTATCCACAACCCAACCCATTTAAATGGGTGGGTTAGGGTGATGGGTTAATCACATAACCCGCCAAGTAAAATGGGTGGGTTGGGTTAAAAATTGCCACCCCTAACTGAGCTCATATCACAATTCTGTCAGTATCCTAAGCAGCGTCATTAAGTCACTCATTTTTTTCATTACTTGGCCTTAGATCTCTTTTAGGTTCAAAATCTTTACTATGAGCTTTTGTGAATGGAAGACAAATCATTGATCAGATTTTAATTGCTAATGAGAGTGTGGAGAACTTTAAGAGGGATAAGAAGAAGGGAGTGGTCTGTAAGTTGGACTTGGAGAAGGCTTATGACTTGGTGGATTGAAATTTTTTGAGGAAAGTTTTGACTAAATTTGGGTTTGGGGCCAAATGGTGTAAGTGGATCATGGGTTGTGTCCGGAATTGTCATTACTCAATGCTAGTGAATGGGACAGTGGTAGATTTCTTTCCAGCCAGTAGTGGTATAAGATAAGGAGACCCTCTTTCTCCTTTCTTGTTCATTCTAATTGCGAAGGTTTTGGAGAAACTGATTCACAGAGCAGACTGTAGGGGGCTCATTAGAGGTTGGAGTGTAGGGAGGGTGGAAACCCCCTTACTCACTTGCAGTTTGCTAACAATACGATTTTGTTTTGTGAAGGCAGTAATGTGAGTTTTATAAGGAATTTGAAGTTGGTGATACAACTGTTTGAGCAAATATCCAACTTGAAGGTTAACCTTGGGAAAAATTGTGTTGTAGGGGTGAATTTGGAGGATGGAGAGTGCTGAAGTGCTGGGGTGTGAAGTCTCAGGGTGGCCTTTGAACTACTTAGGGTTGCCTTTAGGTGATAATCCCATGAGAGAGAACTTTTGGAACTCGGTGGTGGAAAGGTTTGAAAAAAGACTGGTTTCATGGAAAAAGAACTACCTCTCTCTCGGTGGGAGAATTACTCTTATTAAGGCCACACTTGCTAATTCACCTATCTTTTTCCTGTCGGTGTTTAAAATCCCAGTGAAGGTTGCTAATAGATTGGAAAAGTTAATGAAAGATTTCCTGTGGGAATCGGGAGAGGAAAAGAGGGATCATAGAATTAGCTGGGAGATAGTTTGTAGGAGTAAGACATGTGGAGGTTTGGGGCTTGGGATTAGGAGAATGAATATGACTCTATTGAGAAAGTGATTGTAGAGATTCCCTTTGGAGAAGGAGAAGCTATGGGCTAGAATAGTGGCAAGTATTCATGGGATGGAACATAATGGATGGGACACTGGAATCAGAGCTAGGACCACAAGCAATTCTCCTTGGAAAGCCATTCATGACCTGCTATCAGTTTTTTCCCCTAACATCAGGTATGATTTGAATTTCGTCAACTCTATAAAATTTTGGGAACAAACCTGGGTGGGGAGTGCCCCTCTAAAGGATCAATTTCCTTCTTTTGTATGCTCTTTCTGTTTTGAAAAATGAGCCAATATCGTCTTTTACCACCCCGTCCTCTTCTACTTCTGGGATTGGGTGGAACTTGGGTATAAGAAGGGATTTGAGGGACTTAGACTTTGACAATATTTTGAGCCTTATTGCAATTCTTGATAACGTTGTCTTAAACTCCACTAAGGAGGATTCTAGAATTTGGACACCTTCTCCCAATGGCATTTTTTCTTGTGCTTCTTTCTTTAAAGTCTTAAGTCAGTTCACCAATCCTACATTCCCTCCTTTTCCTGTTGATGAGGTTTGGTGCAGAGCAATACCTCTTAGGGTTGGTAGTTTTTGTTGGGAAGTCTATATGGAAAGAATCAACACTAGTGATCTACTCTAAAAGAAGAGATTCAATACTTGCTTGTCACCTTAGTGGTGTGTTCTTTGTAAAGCGAATGGAGAGACTGGTTTTCACGTACTGGTGTCTTACCATTTTGCGAGGTCAATGTGGGAATGGACTTTGTCCCTATTTGGATGTACATAGAATCCCCCATCCGACTTGCAGGGCCTTTTTTCCCCTTCTCTGTTCAGGTGGCAGATAAAAAGGGGAAGGACAATGTGGAGAGAACTAAGGGCTGCAATATGTTGAACACTTTGGGAAGAAAGAAACTCCAGGATATTCTTAGAAGCTCAGAGAGGAGCAACAGATCTGAGGGCTATCATTCATATTAGGGCAATATAGTGGCTGAAATTTTTGGAGTTTTTCACAGATTACACTATGGATGACATGTTGAGGAAGTGGGGTGAAATTGCAAGTTGTACACAGACTAAGTCGGTAATGTATGTAGTTTGGACCCCTCCACCTGGTGGATTCGTGAAACTAAACTTTGATGGGTGTAGCAGGGGAAATCCGGGACAATCAAGGATTGTGGGTGTTTTTAGAGATGATAATGGAGTCATTTCTACCATGTTCTCAGGCCCAATTGGAGTAGGTGACTCCCTTAGAACTGAGATCTTTGCAATTATGGAAGGAGTCCAGAAAGCTAAGGAATTGAACATCAGAAAACTCTTAATTGAAGGAGATTCAGAGGTTGTGATAGAGTGGTTGATTAAAGATCACAACAGCTTGAAACTACAATAATGAGAAGAGGAAATTCAAGTGATTGGTGCAGGAGATGGAAGTTAAGATACGTTGGGTTAAAAGATCAACTAATTCTATAGCTAATAGTTTAGTTAAACAAGGGGTAGAAAGGGATTCACTTTTTTGGGCTTAGCTGTAACTTTAGTGTGTTTTCTTTCTTTTTTTCCTTTTCTTGAGGCTCTTTGTTGTTCTTGGAAGATAAGTGTGTTTGTCTTCCTAATGTAATTTTTCTATTGATGAGTTAATGAAAGTGTTATTGGTAAAAAAAAAAAGAATCATGTTTTCAAGACATAATGATTTTCCGTTTTCAACTGTAAACTTTGACTGACAGGTAATCTCCAATTTGCTGAAGGACTTTCACAAAGGTTAGTAGATCCAGATTATCTTGGTTATTTCCTGGTATATTACTTATTTTAAGTTCTACACATCTTTTATGTAGAATAAAGCATAACTTATAATGCACCATGGTCCTTTAGCAAATCTCCAATTTGCTAAAGGACTTTCATCCGTTTGTGTTATGCCTTTCAGACTGCTGCACAATTGTTGATTTTGTCAAGGAGCTGGATTTTGCTTTTGTTGATGTGGTGTGCCATTTGACAGGCAAATGCATTATTGATTTAATTATTATCTGGTTGTGTTGCTGTGGACACACTGCAAAGTAGTAGATAACCATTCAAAAATTTTAAACATTATTTTTTTTTAAATTAATCAAATTTTGGCCAACTCAGTTTCAGACAACAAATGTGGGCGTGATGAAATACGGAATACTAAAATCCCATATCTTTGGCTTGGCCAAGTTAACACATTTAACCACTAGCCAATCTAATTCATTTCCCATCTACCTGGTATTGGGAAGACATGAATTCATCTCTCCTTGATAATGGTGTATTTAATTCAAGATGTGCTTTTACTTAAGAAAAGCAGATGGGTTATCATACATTAGAAAATAGAATATACATAATATAAGTGGGAGGAGCAGGCTCTTATGTCCCTAATGGTAAACCAGTACAACAGGCTCTAACAATTGCTTACCCAATCTACAGGACCTCCTCAGCCTCAGGGGACCATTGGAATTTTGTGTTCTTGTCTTGGCACTTCTTTCTGGAAATGTTCGTCAGATATTGCCTCATACTACTCTGACTTGTCTCAAACATGAGCCTCATTCCTCGTATCTGCAAATTCACCAATTTTCAGTGAATTAGTTGCTTTTCAATGAGTTTAGCAGGTGGAAAGCTAGAAAAATAGTACATGGGAGTCCCAATCAGCCAACATAATTTACAAACCAAAGTTGTCTATCAAAATTTTAAACCATAAAAACTTGAAAGGTCATTTACTAGATGTTTGGGGTCTTGTGGACTGGATATTGACCTGACGTTTTTTTTGTGGGGGGGGGGGGGACAAAGTGGCTGCTCTTGGACTTGGACTTGAACCCATGTTCTCATGCTTGTCAGCCTAAGATTTTACCATTATTACACCAATCAATGACACCTTTAAACCATAAGCTATTTCAAAGAAATAAAATCTACAGGCATGTAATGTCAGGAAGAACACTGAACAGTGAAGTCTTTTGCTTGAGGTCCTATAATGAACTTTTAAAAGAGTGCTCTTAAGCATTAAACTAACTTGGTTCAGCTACTGAATCTACACTAAAAGTTTAAGTCTTCGAACCTGGACATGGAAACAACATTTGAATGACCATGCAAATCATGTTGTGGAGGAAGTCAAACATATTACAAAGACTTCCACAATCAACCTTCAATCGAGAATTAGGAGGGTTTATTGAAATCTAATGGAAACCTCTCTTCATCCACCTTCAATTGACTTATTCAAAGTAGCCAATCAAAAGCCTTATCCTTGTATTGTGTTATAAGGAAATCCTGGCCCCTTCTTTAATCCGGGCCCTCTGTTGGCAGGCAGATAATAAGAATGCCAACAGTATGTATTGACTATACAAAGAAACAAGGAAATCATTGGATATCATCTTCAGAAGACAGAATCCTTTTGTCTCAAATCTGGAACCATTTATTATCGTTTCCAATCAAAAAGAAAAAAAAATCTGGAACCATTTATTGGAGCTCTTTGAGATCTAAAGAGCCAAGTTGTAATAACATGTAAAATTTTACTTCATAAGGTTCATAAGGCTGTAAATGAATTGGATTCAGAAAATTCCAAATCCAGGATTCGATTAATGAAATTTCTAAGATGCATTAAAATCTGTTTAAATATGCAATAAAACCAAAGAAACAATAAAAATAGCAAAATCAATAGCATGATGAAACAATCACAAAATCTAGTAAAACCAATATATTTTGAAATATTTGTAGTAATAGAATGAAGAGGAACACAATACAAAGAGAAATCCATAAAGAACAAACATGAAAATGAAGAAACAACATATAGAACACTTAAACAACATATAGAACACTTAAAAATCAACTACAAATGAACCAAACCAAAATATTTTAACAGTTTCCACTTGATGTATAGTGGTCCAAGTATATAAAACTCAGAAAAAACTGGAAATAATTTTGCTTAAGAACAAGTCTCTTGGCCAATAGCATCTTTAAGAACCATAGAATCTTGGCCTTTTGTCCATTTTCCCCCAACTTTGTTATGTTATTTTCTAACAAATACACAAACCTCTCATTCTACACATTTAGACAACCAAAGAAATAACGTCAAGAAAATAGACTTTTTTTTTTTCCTTTTTCTCATAACACAAGCAGCATAAGAGGTGTATACCTCTCATTGCCTTGAGTCTTAGTATTTACATTTAAGCTTCTTATACTTGGAGGCATAAACCTCCCCCAAGCCAATTTGAGGTTAAAGCCTTGAGGCAGAATCCTTCTACATAACCTTGAGAACTTACCATCTAAAACCATGATTGATACATTTGGCTCATAAAAATAATGTGATACATCCAAGCAATAATTCATTGTTGAAGTAGGCACAATACCTCAATCAAACTACTTGAACCGAGACTTGTACACTGTGCAGTTGCTACCTCCTTGCCATTGACTAAGATTGAAGACTTGCCAAGATTCTTCATAAAGAATACTCCATCTTCATCCATCTTTATTATTGCCTAAAAAAATAGAAGGAAATGTTATACTTTGTTACTCGCATCAATTATTCAGAGGGAGATATTTCCTTTGAAGATTAATAAATGTGTGCACACAAACAGATGTTCACATGAGAGTTGCCATCAATTCACATTGGCAACCCAATTGAACATTATTCTCTCCTAGTCCTATCGTCTCCCACAAACCCAAATGATTTTATTTGAACAAACTAATTATCTTTTCCACTATTTTGATTATTTTTACTTGGATACTAAAAACAAAGAAAAAAACTAACTAGCAGGCAAGCATGTTCAAGAAGATAGGATTGATACTTTGATTAAACTAAATGAATAACCTAGAAAGATATAGTTCTTCCACACTGCTAGTTTGTTTGAGAATCACTCAGTTACAGAGTTCAAGAAAAATCCTCTAGGGTTTCCCAAATCCTAAGAGGAAGACTGATGTGGACGCGTATTGGGAGCAGCAGCAGCAATGATCCGGTGTTCTCATCCAATCCAATTCGGCAGCAACAGTCTTATCCATTTGGCAGATTAGATTAGACTATCTTGTTATTCTTATCTTATCTTATTAAGTTAGTAGATTAGATTATCTTATCTTATTAGATTAGGATTAAGAGAGACTTATCTTATTAGATTAGGATTA